TTTGAAAATGAACTGAAGAATTACTTTTTTCCGTCTCCTCGCTTTTTGCTGGCCTCTCCAAAACCAAATCTAGAGTGCTAACGGTGTATGTGTGGGGTGGAGAGAGTGCACGATGACGAAGAAGCTTGTGTAGAGAATAGAAGCCAATTGATCTCCAAAGTCCTTCCGAAGTAGTCCTTTGATCTTTTTTGTGGAGTGATGTTCGCCCAAGAAGAAGCAACACTGAATAATAGGAACCAAAAAGAGAATACGGGAGACTTTCACGCCTGCTGCTAACCTTCTCTCCGTCCTCGTTCATTTTATTAGGTTAGCGGACTAGCTGCTACATAAGATGAACATAATTACCCGAGAATAATGACCGATGACCATATTAGTGGAAGAAGACGTCCGGCAGCGGGGGCCTGTAGGTTTCAATCTCGATTATGAAGATGCGAATAAAACGAAATGAGAGGAAGGCAGGAAGAAATGCTTTGGAGATGTCCATGTTGAGGATAAATGGGCGGAGCTATCTTCAGCTAATGAGTAGTATCTGTTTAATGTTCTTCTTTTTTCCCTCCACCTGTTTCTTAGATCATCAAGACTTGTTTCTGGATATATTCACACAGTCTTTAAGGATACAACACAAAAAAGTTCATGATGTTGCTTAACATGTTTCTGTTCCTCTCCTTCTTGGATTCATCAATTAATCAAGGAAGATTCTCGAAGAATGGAAAAGATCTCAACACATCGTCGCCCCGCTGCTTTTCAGACTTCAAGTACTTCTTGACATATCTTCTCTTCTTTCTTCCTCTCTTCTTCTTTGGAGATTAAGAGTGAAGAGGCGGAAAAGAAAAAAAACAAGTGAACTGTGTTGTTTTTCATATAGGTATTGTATCATCGAGACAACGACCGAAACATAACGGGGAAGAGGAACTGGAGAACAATAAACAGTTTTTGGTTTTTCCTCTTTTTTCGGCAGTGGAAACTCTAGAGGAGACTTCACAGAAGAGTTTGGAGAAGTAATATTTGGCACTGCGCCTCTTGTTGTGGTGTTTTTCGTGGTCATTGATTTCTTAGCGTGTTGTTGTGCCTCCTTCCTTCTCACGAGCCAGGGCTCACTTTTCCAGGAGCACTAGGAGTGTCTGGGTCTCTTCTACTCTCAGTTCTAGAATTTTCTGGCACTGCCAAGAGCCTGAAAATAGCATTGTCATCGTTTTTGGCCATCTTCTTATCACCTTTCTTTATTCAAACACATAAACTATTGCTGACCGTGTGTACAAAGTTTGAAATGTGTACTCACTCCATGAAACCAATTCTTAGTTTTTTTTTCTTCTCCGAAACTTAGAATTCTTTTTTTTCAGGATGCCAAACTACAAGCTCTACTATTTTGACGTGCGCTCCCGCGGAGAAGTGATCCGTCTTCTCTTCCACCTTGCCGATGAGAAATTTGAGGACCAACGGATCCAGATGGAGGAGTGGGGAGTTTTGAAGGCCGGTAAGTACCAGTGAAAGCAGGACTAGATTATTTAGATGATCAAAGAAGGAATAGCGATAAAAAATTAGCCGCGCTTCATCGAGTGACGATTTTCATGCGATTACAGAAATGCCGCTCGGACAGGTTCCGGTTCTCGAGGTGGACGGTGTCAAAATTGCCCAAACTACCGCCATCCTTCGTTATCTCGGACATCAGTTCCGTGAGTGTTTTAGGAGAAAAAACAAACGATTTTTTTTTGAAATTTAGACCGCGCTGGAACCAATGCTGTCGACTGCGCTCGCTTGGACATGATGGCTGAAGTCATTCAGGAATTCATGAGTGCCGAGGGCATGGGATCGTACTCGCGAGTCCTTTTCGGATTGATCTCAGCCAACAAGGAGCAATTCTTCAAGGAAAAAGTTCTCCCTGATGTTGAGAAGTATGCCCCACTGGTTGAAAAGTTCCTGTTGGAAAATGGAAATAACGGATTGCTCCTCGGAGATCGTGAGACTTGGGTGGACGTGTTTGCTGCGGAGACTTTCTCCAAAATTATTGATTATGGAAGCCCAGATGCTTTGGATGCCTATCCTCATATTTTGGTAATATGACTCTACATAGAGTACTGGCCTATACGATACAAAAAAGTGTATTTTTGTTGATTGTAGGCATTTTGAAAAGTCCGGAGCTCGACTTGCAAGTGTACGATCACATTTAAATTTTGGAGGGTCTTAAATAGAATTCATACCCTCTGAAATTTTCAAAGTGATTGGAACCTTGACAACCGAGCTCCAGACGCTTGAAAATTGACAAAATGGCCGAAAATTGACTGAATACCACGATTTTTATATCTTATTGATGTGGATTGTATCCGTATTCTCAAATAATCAAAGTTTCAGGCTCTCATCAACCGTGTCTTCAACCACCCCAACATCAAGAAGTATGTCGCCCAAAGAAAGCCAACTCCAGCCTAAACAGAAGAAATTGTTTAAATTTTCTGAGCTGACTATGTAGAGTGCTTTGACTGCAAACCTTTTTTCTCACATCCTCCTTCAAAAAGAATTTTCAATTTTTAATAAAACGCTTTATATTTACAACTTCTGAACATTAAACTACACAACCGTCACTGTACCCTTAACTCTAGCCCGTATCACTAGTAAAACTGCCAGAATGACAATGGAAATGAAAATGAGAACAAATTTCAAATACTCAATAATCCGTGGCACGATGATTACTCCCAACCAGACGGTATTCATGACAAAGTCTTTTAACACCGCGTGAGAGTCCTCGTAAAATAGCGGGATTATTACATTCGGCATTTGTGATGACATACTGGAAAAAGTGGGACTAGTTTAGTCAGGTGACAATAGAAATTTACATTGTTTTTTTGTTGTTGACAACAGGTAAGTTGACCTGGAACCTAACATCAACTTGGAGTGCTGTGCCGGATGTCTGAAAATGAATTTCTTGATGACAGTTACAGTACTGGTTGATAAGATATCAAAAATTGTGATTTTTAGTTGATTTCGACTATTTTCAGGAGTGTGTATCTCAATTGTCAAGGTTCAGATCACTTTGAATATGGTGGAGATTACAAAACAGACCTGTACCAGAAAATTTGCATTTACAGAATTTCTTAGAAATTCCTAGTATTTCAGATTTTGCCTATTTCTAAAAGACATCCTATTTGGACCCTATGTTGCACTGAAAATGTGAAAAAATATTTCTTTTTAATAACGGCGAACTGGAATCCAGGAATCTATTAATCTTTGGATCTAGGAATCTAAGAATCTAGGAATCTAAGAATCGAGGAATCTAAAAATCTAAATACCTAAGAATTAAGAAAACTAAGAATCTAGGAATCTAGGAATCTTGGAATCTAGGAATATGGAAATTTAGGAATTTAGGAATTTAACAAACTAGGAAATTTTCAGAAAACTCTGTGAATGTAAAGTTTCGAATCTAAGTCTGTTTGACACCTTATAGAAATTTCAAAGTGATTGGAAACTTGACAGCCAAACTGCAGACTCCTGAAAAATAGACGAAAAGCGACTGATATATGTTTTGTTGTATATCTTATTAATCGGTACTGTATCTCCAATAAATTTTACCTTCTCTTGATGAAAAACCATTGGCTTATGTTTCTGGGGGTCCGGGCTCATTCCCGAAAGCTTATGTTGCACTTCCGGTGGCGAATACAAAAAGTGCGGAGGAGACACAAGAACCGTGAATGGCGGCTGCGCATTATGACCTGTAAAGGGAAAAAACTGGACATTGATTGACGCCTAATGGGTATTTATGTGTATTTCGATCAACAAGGCTAAGCTTATCCTTCTTTTCCTTTTTCTAGAGATAAACTCGCGGATGTCCGAAACGATTTTCGAAAACGAGATAGATTGCTATCAAAAGAAAAAGGAGAAGGGCAGTGAATTCAAAAAAAAATAAATGGAAATAAGTCAGAAAATGGTCAGACCAACCCGGATAGCAGACCAGCGGGAACAAGCCTGGCGGCAAGAGATAAGTGCCGTTAGCCGTTTTTCGACAGTCCGTTGATGAATTGGATGAGGTTTTTCTATAAAAAGATCAAATGATCGCAAAAATAGAGTGTTGTGCGGTGGTGTTTCGTCGATGCGGGGTGATCTTGTTCTTTTGATTAGGACTTATTGTTCTTTTGATAAGGATTTGTGGTCGGGAAGCGGGAAAAAGGAGGGAATAAAAAAGATTTTGTTCTTATAAAGTTTGAATTAATTCTAATTGGTATTCTGTTTTTGGTATGGTCGTTGTGAGAAACGTGGGATTATATTGATAAGAAAAAGTAACAAAATCAGAAAGGGGTCAGAATTCTTAGGAAACTTTTTAGGTGTTACTGAAATTGTGTTATAAACAGTATGGGCTAAATTTACAGAAATAATTACCGGTAAAAATTTTGTGAAATACTAACAATTTTATTGAAATTTATCGGTAATTTCATGAATTTTTCATCCGGGCTTTTTAGAACTTTCGAACCGACCGCATTGAAACTGTTCGTTTCGCCAATAGGCAAGATTTAGAACAACATGTTCGGTAACTACGTCCATATAGAACCGCAACGTTTTAGAACCATGACGTTTTAAACCCACGAAGTTGAAGAACTGTCGCAAAACTGCCCAAAATCTCGTAGTTCAAAAAAACGAGTAAAACACCTCTGTGTAGTCTTCGTGGACAAAAAATTGTATGGCTAATCTTGTAAATTGCTGACGAATTGCCATTGAATTCCGGTTCATTTTTACCGGAAAATACCGGTAAAGTAGTCAAAATGTTTAAAGAAAATTTTATGTTGTGACTAACTTTCGAAAAAACTGTTATGTTGTTTGATAACGTTGCTTTAAACAGACTTACTCATTACACCACTCTGGGAAATAATCCACATTTTCCGAATTCTTATATCGAAAACCTGCATTTTCTTCTAGCGTAGTATCAAACTCATTGTGTGGAACAGCGAACGCCATAGTTTTTATTCCATCTACCATATTTTCCTGCCAGTAGGTCCTTTTGAATGACCTACACATGAAGGATAGGAAGAATGGAAGCTCATCATCTTTAGTCAAGTGCAGTTTAGATAAACTTCCGGAATCTGAGAAAATTATATATTCTAAATGTTTTTTAATTGAGTATACCTGGCCCTTTAATCTTCCGTGCTTCTTCGGTTGGCCAGAACGAAGCCGGGAGCTCTTTGAGCCCGGCCCAGCTCCCTACAAATCCCAGCTTACTAAAGTCTTCATATCCTGTGTTGATCCAATAATTTTCATCGTAAGAGTTGTTGTACTAAAATTGGTAAAATGAAATAAAATGGGAATTGTCACAAACCCCAGAAAGATAAGCAAACGTTCTCATATCGGGAATGTAATTCAACTGTTCTCCATATCCCATAATTGTAACGATTGATCGAAAAAGCTGAAAATTTTGAATGCACAGGAAGTTTACGGTTTTGACCCACTGTAGAATGGGCAACGCTCAGAAGTGGGTCTTCATACCCGTCGAATAACACGTCTTTGACTTTTTTGGATCTTAAAATGATTCAATTTTTCATTCTTGATGCTCTACTACAGACATAAAAGGGTATTCTCCAACCATAACTAGACCAATAGACGCAATTAGTTGTGCAGTTTCACTGAATTCTGATTGTGGGCCAAATATTGTGGCTACCGCTCCTTCTCCTATAGAATTTGCGAACAAAACATTGTCATCGTAGCTGAACCCCTCATCCAAATCCTCTGGGCTATAATGGTATTGTTTGTAGTTCTGATAGAACATTTGTGTCTTATCACTACTGAAATCGTAGTACTTCTTTTGTTCGGATTCCCTGAAATCAGAAAAAAAACAGATTTATGGCCTCATAGGAAATGAAAGCTTACAAAAATCCATATCCACCAACTTCGATGAGTTCTGGCATGGCTCCAAAATATTTGACTTCGTCTGGATTTGTGACATTAAACAAATTGAACTTCATAACGTTTTTCATGGGTGGATTTGCATATAGAAAGGCTGCATATTTAAGAGATCCGTCTGCATTTGCTTGTAGTTTGTAGTTCTAGACACAAATAGTTGAAACTTAACAAATTCGATTGGGCAACTTACCGCTCGAAGCTCTGAATTGAAAATTGGCCAGAACGCAATCCACATTCCTAATCCCACAACGAAAAAAAGGGCGGCAACCAGAAAGGCGAAGATTTCATATTTCTTGATGGTCATCATGTTTCTTCGGAGTGTCAATATTGAAGAAAATGTTAACTATATGATTGTTCCCTTATCAAACACCTATTTGCAAAGCTGGCATAATTATATGTAATAGACATGTACCACATAACGAGTAGCTTATCAGTGGGCAAAGAAATCGAACCACACTTTTTAACACCTTTAACAGCAATGAATCGCCGATTCGGTTGGTTGGAAATTTGAGGGGAAGCACAAATCATGGCTAGGTGGAGTTGCACAATTTTCTAGAAAATAGTAAATAGCCATTTAGCAGAAGTATACGACGGAATTTTCATTTTTAGTTCCGTCCATAATTCTTTCGAAGTTATCAGAAACATGTCTACCGATGTGCCTTTATATTAGAGAGCCTCATCCACGGTTTTCTAGTGTTCTTGGCATTTTTTTTCTGAATAAAAATTCTCTATTTTTCGGTTTTTGATTATTCATTCTGGTGAATGCACACTTGTTGTGTTCAATAACATGCGCAATGATTAGTATAGGGACCAAAACATAAAGAAAGGAATATATAAATAATGTACACATTAATAAATGGTGGTTTGTTTTTGCTGCGGCACCGCTCCTCGCTCCAGTATTCGTGGCTGGTTTGGTGGCAAGTGACGTCTCGGGGCTCTGAAAGAGAAATTTTTAATTTCATTTTAGAGGAGATTATTTTGACGTTCAGTTCTTTCATATTTATCGGAATGGTCACTCACTTTACATTGGCCATATGGCGAACGGCTTCGTTGTAGGTTGGCGGGTGTTTGAAATCGACAAAGTGCTGATTTTCGTAAATCATTTGATAGCTGTTCACACCGCGGGCGTCGTAGACTGGCATTCGGATTCGTCTGAAAAAAATTTTTTGGAAAATAATGGCTGGTTGGTTACTGTAGAAAATATGGGCTTTGGAAATTTGTTGGAAAAAAACAGTTTAAAATTGGCTTTGTTCCATTCACCATATATTCTTCAATAGAAGCCCATCCATACCGTTAACTTTGAACTCAATTATCTCATTTTCTGTGAATGCATGAATGAATGCAGAAAATGTGAATGCTATCTGCTAACTGGGAAAACGTTTATCATAATATCACCAACATTTTATCAGTGGACAACTTTTTGACATATCTCATAAGAACCGAGATAATTGAGCTTAAAGGTAATGGTTTGGGTGAGCTTCTATTAGAAGAAATACGGTAGCTTATTTCAAACTAGTGATCTACCGTAATCTTTTCAAAGTAAGTCTATATTTTTCAACTTACACTTGATTTTCGTCGTTTGAATAGATTGATTGGTAATCCTTGTCATCGTATCTGGTATTCGAAGTTTTTTTGAGACAAGCAAACAGTCCAAGAATAAGAATCAGAATTGCTGGAGCAAGAAATCCAACAAAAAGATAATACATCGTGCGCGCTCTCCTTCGTTCAAATTCTTTTCAGATTGAGATCATGCTGAAAAACAATTACTGAGAAATTAGAGAAGGGGTCGGTTTGGAAAATAAGGAGAGAAGTTTTTTCAGAGGGACCACACCAAAAACGAACTGCTCCCTTTCGGCCGTCCTCTTTTAAACGCATAAAACTGGGGTGGAGAAGACTAAAAGATAGGGAGAAGAACAAGAAATAGCTGCTGGAAGCAAAAACAGAAGAGAAACTTGTTTTCGGATGCACATACATTACATCTGGAACGCTCTTTTTTCCAAAGAATAATTGAAGTAGAAACAATGCCAACGGGATATGAATAATAGCTTGACACGAGTGACACGACTTCTTTTCAAACTTTTTTCTCGATTCAAAGTTCAAAAGACTCCCGCTAGACTCAATTGCTCATTCAAAATGAGTAAAAAAACCACGACAACACAAAAAGATGGGGTTGGGGGGGAGCCTATGGGACATGAGTTGTGGTTGGTAAGTTGAAATAAACAAATGAGCCGAGAAGAAAATGGTTGGAGGAGAGTCTTCTGTTTTTTTTTCTGGCTCTGTCGCCGACCCAAATCCAACAAATCCCTCTAGCGAAAGGCTCCCAGGTTAGGAAATTGGAGAGTTGTGTGTATAAAGAAATCCTATATTCTGAATTTTGTTTCGTTTGAAGGAAGCGAAACAAATTATAAACAGAGCATTAGATGATGAAGAAGCCTTTGATGTCTGGTTCAAATATTTTGCATTGAGGACCTTCTTGGAGAAAACACTATGATATGCGTAGGGTGAAAATTGAAAAAAAGGGTCATCCGAGGAGCCTTTGCTTGCATTGGATTTCAATTGACACTTGAGAGGATGTCGAAGGAGACTCCTGACTATATTTGAAGGAAAAAAAACGAAAAAAATGATGCTTAAGGGAGCAGGGCCTGATCATTCGGAGTATAGTAGCAGCATAGCTTTATATAAACACATATTTGCCAGTATGGTTTCTGATCTCGAGTCGCAGACTAGTTGGTGTCTAAGTTTGCACAATCTTTTCACTTGAGACGCGGTTGACCTATCGTTTGCGGATCAACCCACCCCCCAAAATAGTTTTTTTTGCTGGTTTGTTGAGGTTAATTCGCAAGGTCAATTGGAGAACAAGAAAAAAGATTAGTTTACATAATATGTGTCATTGTGTAAAGGGAGGGGTACTGTAGATGCCTCTGGGAAAGAAACTAAATATTTACAACCAGTAACAGAAGGGCTCTAACATTGTCAAGTTGGAGGTCAATTATCTCACTTCCCATGCAAGATATAGAAAGTTTATAGAAAAATTGTTAAAATGTTTGTGGTAATATGATAAACAATTTGTCAGTTGACAACTTTTTGACGTCTGTTACAGTATCTGTGATAAATTTGCTTAAAGTTAGAAGTTAAGAAGCCCTAAAACAGTTTGTACGGTAGTTACGCGTGAGTCGGTCTACATAAGTTATGCAACGTCTTCGTGAATCAGAAAATCAATTTTTCTGTTTTCTAGAGGCAAATTGGTTCCAAGACTTCTAGAAAAATGCTGTTTTTTGGTCGAAATTTTTTTTGTATTTAGTGAACTTCAATTTCTGAAAGAATTCTAAAAAATTGGATTCAAACCTTCTTTACAAATTGGTTTTGAATCTACAAAAAATTGCCAAAAAAAATTCGAATTAAAAAATATCGAATCCCGAAACGATTGGCAACAGTCTAAAAATTAGCTATACACTCAATCATGAAACTTGAAAATCAAAACTTTCTGAAAAAAAGCTTTCTGAGTTTCGCTATCAAAGATTTATACGTGACCTTGAAGACAATTCAAATATTTGAAAAGCTATGGTAACCAATTTTTCTGTTTATACCCTAGAAAAGCCGAAAAACGTTTTCAGAAAAAGAAAATTAGTCTTTCTTGCTTTTTTTTAGATATAACCATTCTTTTGAATTCAAAAATTCAGTGTTCTTAAACCAATAACAAGAAAAAAAGACTACCACCTCAAAACAGAATAACCCAATCTCACCACTAAATCTTTATTACTCACTCAATCCCGTTTTAAGAAAATCGCATGAAAAATGTTTTCAAATCCATCAAACTACTTTTTGGCTTTTTTCGAATCCTACACACACCTCCTTGAAAAAATAGATTCTCATTAAATCATCCTACCATAAAACTTTGGAAGAACAAATGAAAAAAAAAACTTTCGTTCAAATAGGTCACATGGATGAAACGTATGGGCATTTATGGTCATTCTCCGCAAGCAAGACAAAACAAATAGAAAAAAAAAGTTGGTAGCAAACTCAGCAGAATAAGTTTTTGCCGGGGCTTCTGAAACCTAATTTTCCTTCTCCTCCCCGCCCTATGGGTGCAATTGAATGAACTATGCATGCGCATCTTCCTGTGACGAAGAGATTAAAAAGAGTATTAAGGTTTTTTTGTGCACTAGTAGATGAGTTCTTTTACAAAAGATTATGCATTTCTCATCTCATAGGAACACGGGTATTAAGGAATATTGAGGTTATAGGGAAAATGAGAAGAAGAAAAAGGAGAAGCAGAAGAATATGAAAATGAGAACATGCAAGAATATTGAACAAGAATAAGAAGAAAAAAAAAGAGAATAATATTCTCGAGGTCGGGATATGTATATTTCGGGAGGGCCAAAAAGAAAAGAGATCCATTTTGAGACATGATGATTTATGTGGTCGGAAATGAATTCATTCAAATCTTTTCTTCTCGTGGCACGCACTTGTTGAGTGATGTGGTCCCCGGCATTAAATGGCCCGCGCTCTCTTTTTTTTTTTGTCTTATTTTTTTGGTATCGAATGTTGCATGGATAGAGAATGAAGAACTGCACGCCATCAATTCTTCCGTTTCAGATAGAATACGCGAGAAGAAAGGGATGAAGTTTTTGGGTACTCGAAAACATGTAGTAAAGTTTGTAGTACATACACTAATGAATTTTCAACAGAATACTCTCTTTTTCTGGTAGTGGAGGTCTGAAGGATTGCACTTTTATGGTGTTGTGGGTAGTTTGAAAAGAATGGGTGGTTCAAAACAAGTACTAGAATGAAGGAACGTTGGAGGAAAGTATATAACGAGATAAATTGCGATAGAAAAGACCATCCTTGCTAAATCTCGGACCGGCCCGGGTCAGCCCTGGCCCGGACCGGGCTGGAGAAAAATTATCCCGGCCCGGGTTCCGAAAATTTCAAATTTTTCCTGTTAATTTTAAATACATTTTTGTCAAAATATTAATTTTAAAGCACGAAATTTATCCCATGACCCTTCTAAACCTGAAAAAAAAAGAAATTTTGATAAAATGTTCCCAAAAATCCAATTTTCTCTCAAAAAATGACTCCTAGAAATTTTTGCCTCAAACACAGTGAAAATTCCTCCACCGGCCCGGCCCGGCCCGCGACATGTTTGGAAAAGACGGAAAATCAGAATTTTGCCCTGTGTGACCTCCGTACCGGTCGATAAGACACACAAAGACGGATTTTTCAAGTACAAAAACGGATTTTTCAGTTTCATCATTTCGACCATTTCCAATAGTCTGAAATTTCTAAATCAAGTTTTCGATCATTTTGAAAATTTTGGAAGGTGCGAATATATTAAAAACTTTGCTTTTTTTTTGAAAATTCCTAGTTTATCAGATATTTGCCGAATCCCGAAAAACACCTATTGTTACACATTTTCTGCACAAACCCCGGCCAAAAAGGCGTTCTCTCAGAAATTAGTGAATATCTGAACAACTAGGAATTTTCAAAAAATGCAATGAAATCAAAGTTTCCATTCTATGTCGTTTTTAAATTATTCAAAAAATTTCAAAGTGATTGGAAACTGAAGAGTTGAGCAAAATGCCCAAAATCAAATGAAAAAATTTGTTTTTGTATATTTTCAAATACTGAAGCCTCTTAAAAATCGCTTGAAAATAACAATAGCTATCTGTTCGCATATGTTTCTGGGAACTTCTGATCGATTCCGTTTCAATTGGAAAGGTCTAATTTGTAATACCTCGCTAACTATGAATGGCAAAGAACTCTGCCAGATCGAAAAAAAAGCTTTAAAAATGATTGAAATTCTATTTTCTTCTTTCACTGTCCCCCTCCTTATATAGCGCTTCAGTGACGCTTGAAACATCCACCACAACCTATAATTTTGTGGGCACATGACGCTCCTACCTTTCATATCATTTTTTTACCAGCGAAATTTTTGTTCCTGGTACACACGACATGTTTTGAAAGGTCCACACAAAACACAGAACACACACCTTCAATTTTGAAGTCTTAGATATACAGTGACTGTTAAAATTTATTTTACAATTTACAAAGTAAATGCTCAAAAACTTATACGACACTACAATGAGAAAGCAAAATCAGCTGGTAACGAATCGAGAAAAAATAATAATAATAATGTCTGATTCACTATGACAACTGAATACATTAATTTCCGTTTTATTAGGCCGAAAAAACACATACACACAAAAATAAATCAACGAGATTTATTAGGAAAATTTTAAATTTTCAGATGATTAGACGAAACTGAAAAAGAAAAACAAGTTAGTAATACTGTGTTCCTTCGATCAGAGACAGCGACGGAGCATGGGGAACGGAATCATAAGCATTTGTGACGGCGCCGTTGATCAGCTGATGGCGTTTTTTCCATTCGGTTTTGAACTCGAATCCTTTGAAAATGATGGATTGGACATTTACGGCTCCTTTGATTCCGATCGCTTGCACAGCCATCACTGGGAAACGATGCTCGTACTCCACCAGCAGATCATTGTTTACAGTAATCTATAACCATTTTTTAAAGTTGTGATTTGAGACGTTGACCTACGTTATAGTATCCTTCATGAATAAAAATTCGCACATGAAATTGATCATGAGATGTTAAAGGATGATTATGGCGAATTCCGGGTCCCCAGTGGTCGTTGAGAAAACTGTTGAGGACCAATTCTTGATTACGGAAGTTCATATGAAGGACGATATTAGCCCCGCTGAGAAGTTCGATGGTGAATTCACTGAAAAACAAAAAATAGTATGATATTTTGACTATTGAGCTCACTCATGAGCAGTTCCATGGATTTCAATTTCAGTTCCGGCTTTTAACGGCTCCACAATCTCGAGAGCAGTTGGGATTGTCTGGAATTTTGAAAAGCATTAAAGTAGATATTTTAGATGCTCTAATCGAAGTAAAGATTATTTCAATTTCTGGGAAAATTCTAAAAAATCGGTTTTGCATAAATCAAACCGTTTGAAAACTAGCTATCGTCATATGAACCCGCTCTTTACGTGCACTTTGAAATCAATTATCTCGGTTCCTATGAAAGATGTCGATAAAATTTCAACTAATAAATTATTCACCATGATATCACCAACATTATATCAGTCGATTACTTTTTGATATATCTCATAAGAACCGAGATAATTGAGCTTGAATTTGATGATTTGAATGACATTCTTTGCGGTACTTCAATCACTCCAATGTAATCACCACTAACTGTTAACTTTGAGGCAATTTATCTCGGTTCCTGTGAAAGATATTGATAAAATCGTAACTATAAATTATTTATCATAATATCACCAATATTTTATTAATTGACAGATTTTTCATATCTAGCATAGAAAACAAAATAATTCGGCTCAAAGTTTACATAATTAGTAGTCATAGAGCATTTACGGTATTTTCCAACTCACCGGATTTTTGATGATGTACATGTTGATAACTTTACAAACCTTGGAAAATATTTAGTTCTTAACAATGCAGTTTTTTTTTCTTTTCGCCAAGTTTTTATACTTTTCATCTTGTTTTTGTGCTCCCGTTTTCGAGAACCATATTTACTTTATGTTGAGACACGACAAAGTGTCAATACGTGGAAATGTTTGATCTCCTTTTTTTCCTTAGTCATCATCATCATTCTCAAAGAGGAGGACTATTTCTGAAAAAGTGAACTTTGTTGAGAGGAGGGGAAAAAACTGATTTTTGGACATTTTTGAGATGTTTGCCAGGAGAGAGTCATAAGAGAATCGTATTTTGAGCTTTTGGACTGTATGATAAGAAGGGTTGGAAAACGGAAAAAGGAATGACAATCAGAGTGTGAGCAGGAGGGAAAAAAAACACGTAAAAACGCTTGCGAAATCACGCTTCCATTGAGAAACTTACTGTAGGTGTGAGTTAAAATTTGTATTCAGAAAAATTCAATTTCACCATTGAAATCTGTGTTTTTGGCTTCATGAAAAAAAAATAAATTTTAAGCCAAATTATTTTATTCAAAAAGTTCAGATTCACAAAAAGTAATTTGCCTTGCGGCTTTTCCATTTTTGAGGTTTCTCAAACTTGGCGTCTCGGCTCACAGGCCGATCTATACGCCGCCTACCCTGGCTATCCGCGACAGCCAGCCGGCCCATAAACGGGGGAAAACGACGACGATGATATAGGGTCCCCCTAGCGAGCGGCCGACATTTTCCGGGTTACGCCGCCCGCTATGTTTATAACGTGAGACGAGAGACAAGGCGACATTGGTCGAAAAAAAAGAAATCAGTTATTTGCCAGTTTAAAAAAAAGTGATACATTTAGATTTTTGAAAGTTTGAATACTGTAATATCAGTTAATGAAATATGCAACATCGCACTTTTCTTTTGATTTTGGCATTTTCAGGAGCCTGGAGCTTGGCTCTCAAGTTTCCGGTAACATTGATAATGTTGGAGGTCTATAACAGACATAGATTGAAAACGTTGCATTCACAAAATTTTTTGCCCTTAATTTTTAGCTAAAGTCCTTGGTTTTCAGCTTTTTGGTTTCTGAAAGGCTCCCCTTTTGGTCAGTTTTGTACTAAAAACGTGAAAAAAGGCGTTTTTCAGATATCGGCAACTGGCTGGAAAACTAGGAAATTTTTGAAATTTCTACGAATGCAGTTATCAATCAGGGCCTGTTTTACATCCTCCGAAATTTTTTTTTAAAAATTCCACAAAAAGAATTCAATTGAACAATTGCAAATTTTTATTCACAGTTAGCAGTTTACCAATCAAAAAAAATCAAAAAATCATTTCAAAAAATTAAAAGTAGGCGTTGTAGGAGTGAGTCTCTTGGAAGACTGGAGCCACATAAGTCTCAGTTCCATAGGCACCGTATCCGGTATGTCCGAAGTCGTGGCTGGAGTTCCAGTCGACTCCAAAATCAAATCCGGTGAAGGAGATCTGGTCAACGTGGACGGCCCCCTTGAGTCCGACGGCTTGAACCGATTGGTATGGAAGACGGTGTGGGAAATCAGCGAGGTGCTCTCCGTTAACCGAGATCTAGAACTTTCTAGATTCATAACTTGAAGATCAGAAGATCAGACTCACATGGTAGTATCCCTCATGAACATGGATCTTAAGATCAAAGTGGTCATGATGCTTCAATGGGTTATGGTGATCGATCTCGGATCCCCATTGTCCATTAACAGAGGTGTTCATGGCAACTCTGTGACCATGCTCGAAGCGGAAATTGACGTGAAGGACGATATGTGGTCCGGAGAGGAGCTCAACGGAGAAGTCCTTGTGGTGATGGTGAGTGACGTGTCCGGCAACATGGATCTCGGTTCCAGCGCGGAGCTGTTCGCGGATAGCGTGGGCGCTTGGGACGTCCTAGAAGAACCGATATCATATTTGAAAACCAAAAAAAAAAAACAGGGAAAACCCTAGAACTTACTGGGCTGGTGATCACGTGCATGCTTCGAAGTAGAGACTCGCTGTACTGCGTTCTTCTCCTGCCATCTCGCCTTCCTTATATGCGATTCCTTTTATTTGAACACACTACGTTGCATTAATCATCCGATAAGAGCGATGTTTGACAGATAGATTATGGGCGTTTGTGGAATCGGAGAGGTGACAGAGAGAGAGAAAATGCCATTTTTAGCGTTGATAAGAGTCTCGGAGAAAAAATGCCCATCATCAAAATGTTATTGCTAATCAGTTACTTGTTTATTTCAACAAAATGGTATTCATTCTTGGAAAAAGAGAAGGATGGTCTTTGGTTTTGTGTCGTAACAACTCTTTCACAAATATTCGTTCTTTCCCAATACGGATGGATGGCATCAGATGAGTCATGAGGGGCAATGGTGCGTCTCGATCCATTTTTATCTTTGCAGGCAGAATGATTCATTTTTCAAATAGTATTATAGAAAAGTTTAGGAAAAGGTTTCGAGATGATTCATGACATCTGGAAGATTCTAAGCGCAAATAGGTTAGAGTCAGTGCAGTTGTAATAGAAGTGTCTGTCTATTTGAGCCACATTTTCTCGTTTCTTGCGAAAGATATCGAAAAGTGTTCAACTGATAGAAAATTCATTATAATTCAAAAATTATTTTGTCAGTTGCAAAATTTTAAATACCTTTTACGGCAGCCAAAATAAGTGGGCCGAAGTTAGTATAGTGAAAGGCCCCCAATGGCATCTGGATCTTCTGGAACAAAGAAAAGTTTTGGAACACTTGTTTCACCGCAATTTTGATTTCAAAAAGTAAAAGAACGGTCAATGAAATGTACAAAAACATAATTTGCAGCTGATTTTCGGTCATTTTTCTATTTTCAGAACTCTGGAGCTTGGCTATCGAGTGTCCGATCACTATGGAAATGTTGGCGGGTGTAAGACAGACCTACAATGAAAACTTTTGCATTTACAGAATTTCTGAAAATTCCCAGTTTTTTAACTATTCACCGAATTCTAAAAGATCAAAAAAAATTCTGAAAGATATAAAAATTTCGGTGAGCAATATTTAAAAGCGATTTATTTTTGTAATTACTGTCAAGCCTACTTTTTTCAAATTGTCGTGGAATTTGGTCGATTTCGAACACATTTTCAACAGAAAACCGACAAGTTGCAAGAAACTGAATGAAAACAATAGAAATTGATAAAATACCGCTAAATTTTATTGAAAAATAGAAAAAAATAGATTAGAAAATAGCTACGAAATTACATGCGTCTTTAAAGATGGCGAAACCAGGCGTAAGACCATTTGCTCATCGTAAGATTTTAAGGAAACAACGCGGATTGAAATCAGACTAGACTAATAGCTGAAAAACTAGGCATTTTATAAAAATTTCTGTAGAAAGTTTTCAATCTGGGTCTGTTTAACACTTTCCAAAGTTTTCAAAGTGATCCGACACATGACAGCCGAGCTCCGGACTGCTGAAAATGGTCTGGTCGCCTCTCTGAACCTCTGAAATCCTTTGAAATTCTCTCAAACTCTAAACTTCATTAAAAGCAATCATTACAGTAGCAATGATTTATTACTTCTTCACAAAACTATGATCAAGCAAGCAAAAATGTCGCGGGCAAGCGATGAAAACAGGAGGGAGAATTCGGAAACAACTATCACTGTCAGTGGAGATCCATATAAATTTTGTAACTTTAGACAAAACGAAACAGCTCAATGCACAAAATTTAGGATAATAAGGAAAGAAAAAAGCGAATGCGTGGGATGGTCTACAGTAGTGGGAAGACCATGAAAGCCAGGGGAAAGCAAGTGAGGAATGTGAGTCGAAGATTTTTGTGAATTTTTGATTTTCGTAAGAAACCGGACTATCAATGGGGGGAAAATGAGCATAGGACTATTTTTGAGGGGGGGAAGTAAGTTTAGAGTACTTGGAAGTACGGGGGCTCAATTGGAAAACATGACTTATTAGGATGGACTAGTTTCAGGGGGAAAAAAGGAATTTATTAGGAAGAATTATTATTTCACCATTGTCCTGGATAGAAGGCCATGAGACTTGGATCATTCACGGCTGCTGCGTAAGCACTGACTTGAGCAAATTTCACTTTTTCAACTTCCGCTTCCTGTAGTCGTTTTGATTTTGCCCTTCGATTCTGTAAGTTTGTTTCATTTTTTTGTTCCATTTCCATTTTTCAATATCATCTTTCGTCAACCAGATGGACTCCAGCTGTGATATCGGAAATATTTTCATTGCCAAATTCCGCAATCTTCTAGATCATTTATCATATCATTAAGACCTCAATGAATGAGGGAAAGCAGAGTGTTTGACAGTTTTGACACCAACGCCGACCTTCAGATGTTTTTGGTATGTGAATGTATGTATAAGATATTGTAGCTAAGCGCGAAATAAATGACAGGTATGAATCTCTCTCAAAATAGTAAATCAAGGTTGTGCAGATGGTGATGCTGCCCCTAACGCAATTCCGTCCTAATTTTATGGCCCATCACACAAACGGGGTGACTGATTGGGGGAAGAAAAGAAAAGCCTGTATGAGCAGCTGAATATGTGACAATTAGCTTGCGTCATTAACACCATTGTGTGTGTTCCGCGGTCCGAAGAATTTTTGAAAGATTGGATTTCATCGAAAACCATCGGGCTATCATCCTTGGGCAATATTTACCAATTACGTGATGATGGGGAAGGTCAATTAACCGCGCGCGCGCCATCATCTGGACCCCTTTAAAATGTATCAAGTATGGAGTACTGTATTGCCTCCTCACGAGATAAAAGACAGCTGGCACAACAGTCGGTTGATGAGTGGAAAGTGTCAGTTATTGTTAGTCACTTTTAAGGTATCTATAGATCTCGCAAAAAAATGGATGAGCAAAAAAGTCGGCTCTTTCCTTTCATAGATACCATCTTATTAGGAACACCAGGTGCACAAAATCACGCCTTGGGATCTATAACGTTACAGAAAGGCGTGAAGGTCGTAATATGGCTGTTATCTATGCATCAAGGAACGGCAAACACTATAATTATATGAAATACGCGTGCCGATTGATTTGATTATGATCTATTTTATGATCTACGTTTGTGTGGGGATACTGTCAGATTGACTAACCTGGAACCATATCTTGACTTGCGTCTCCGTTAATTGCAACGACGCGCTGAACTCGGCACGCTCGGCAATCGACAAATACTGTTTGGATTGAAATTTTCGCTCCAGGGAAATAAGTTGCTGCGTGGAAAACGGGGTACGAGGCTTTCGATTGTTTTTATGCTTCCGCAACATGCACTTGGTGAGACCGATTTGGATTTTCGCATCGTCGCTGGCTGTAAATTAGAGTTTCTAGAATTTCCAATTAAGAATTGTTGGGGCGTACTCGGTGAATCCTCTCGTTGGGATGATAGCCATGGAAGGGTGTGATGTTGCATGGACAGTGGCGATGAGGCAGAGGATTCCGGTGAGCTGTCAGAACTCATGACAGGCAGACGGTTACTGAAAGGGGGCTTAGGATTAGATGGGAAAGACGGATGTTACTATACTAATCTTCTAATTGGGAACATGTATTTAACCTAGGTAAGCCTTGAAAAGACACATTAGAGGACAAGGAAAAGGACTAACCCAGTCTGTGAAAAATAAATCATAACCGGGTCAAGTTGCGCTCCAAAGTATGGAGCCATATGATGCAGTCCTGGTAGCATAAGTGGAGTTTTTGGCGTTATTGGAGCAGGAGGTTTCAACAGATTCTCATCTTTGACAGAACTTTTTTGTGGAGTCGTCGTCTCCAGAAGACTTTCCACACTGAACATTCCGGATTGCTTAGGTTTCTCTGCTTTAGACACCATTGTCTATCCTGCTAGAAGAGATAGATTTATAAAATACTAATCAAAAAAGAGATGAGGCAACAAGATTCATTACGCGGAGGATTAAAAGAAAATTGATCATAAAAAAATAATCTGCATTAGAGAAAGAGAACGTAGGAAAGCAACGAATCTAATGCGTAACAACATATGTTACCGTAATAATAATTGAGGCGAGGGGAGGATTTAGTAGGAAAAATAGGATACTCTTATGTAATTAATAGGCTCTTCGAGCTTCAAAAAGAAGCACACCACGACGACAGGAAGTATAAAAAGGGCGGGAAGTGGATGCGCATCGCTTAAGGATGGGATAAATTGCAAAGCAAACAGAAATCAGGCGGGTTTACGGTAGGCTGGAATATCTTCAAGGAGGAGGAGCTCAAGGCAGATGTGTTGACCAATGCGTTTTATTGCGGATTCCTTAATGACATTAGCACCTTGCCCATGTGACATCGATTCCATTTATAGGCGCCAATATCGTCGTCATTAGCTGATTCAGCTGATGGGGAGGTGAATGAAGAAATTCAGAAGGCAAAGACAAAAAGCAACAACAAAGAGAAAAGCAACGATGCCTGGAAAGGAAATTGGAACTAAATGAAGTTGGTATTGTTGAAATTTCCAGCCTTCGCCACTTCTAGACACACAAAACATAATTGTTTTGGGGGTATAAAGGGGTTGTTGCTCACTTTCTCTCTAACTTTCAAACCCTAAGAAAGTAATTATGTCATTATGTGATGAGAGCCAAAACGGGAAGTTTTACGACTTCGCCAATTATCGTCGGGGAATATTATTCTTGAAATGACATTTTTATTGGTGTGGTGCTCTCCGGAGGAAAGCTGCTTATTACTGCTTATTACTATTGGCCTGAGTTAAGATACAAAATTGACAGAATATTACTAAACTATACTCAAAAGTTTGAAAAAGTAGGAAATATTTAAAAATTATAGATCAGAAACCACATCAATTAGGACACGGAAATCAAAAAGTGTAGAGTCGAAGGGTCCTCAGTCTCCCTCTCACTTTTTACTGACTCCGCCTACCAGATTGTTGGCCCCCCGCTCGTCCGAAAACAATTAACTACCGTATGCCACCCTAGACCGCCCACTGGGGTGGTCGTAGAATAGAAGACAGAGGAGGGCGGTCCCTCAATTGTTGTCTTTTCATGCCATCTGATCAACACAACTGATTGCATGTCTATCAAAATTGATCACCATCAATCTCAATGAAGTCCAAGTGCAGTTGTTTCAAGCGGGCTTTGGCTTCTGGAGCATTGAGAGGGAAATGACTAAAAGGGCGTGTTTTAGAAATAATACTATTGTTGACATCATCTCTCGGAAACCCTAATTAAAACACTTTCACGTAACAATGATTTCAAATGATTCGTAAAAATGAAATGATTCGCGAAAAAATCTAAATTGGATGTTTTTATCCGCCGCCCTATCGTCTTTAATTAAAGCTCACTTTTGGAGGCAGAAAAACAAGGATTTTTGAAAACTATCAATCCTACGATTTGATGGAAGAGGGTCTTTTGAAGGTGTCACACGTGTCAGATGACAGAGACACAATGTTGATTTAGATGGCGCCAGTCCTGGGGTGGGTGCAAACGATTAGTTAGAACAACACAGTGCGGACCTCCAACTGTTGCGACAAATTAAAATTGTGGGGCGAAAATTGGGACACACAAGAGGTGTCGATATGTGACAAAGGAAGAAGGAACTCCTGTCTGGAGAAGAGTGTGAGTTTGGGGGAAAGTATAGAGCTTCCGGTTACTGTAGTTTGGCATTGAAAAAAAAACTAAAAATTAATATTTTTGACCCGTTGAAAGTAAAAAAAACAGGGAAAGCTGCTTAGCTACAGTACCGATCAATAAAATATACAAAAATGTATTTTTCAGTCAATTTCCGGCCATTTTGATCATTTTCAGGAGCCTGGAGCTTGGTTGTCAAACTTCCGATCACTTTGAAAATTTTGGAAAGTGCCAAACAGACCTAGATTGAAATTTTTGCGTTCACAGAAATTTCAGAAAATTCAATATTTCGAATCTAGGGTTGTTTTACACTATTTTGAATTTTCAAAATGATAAGACACTCGACTGCAGAGCTCCAAACTTAAGAAAATGGTCAAAATGACCGAAAATCAGCTGAAAATTTTGTTTTTGTAAATCTTATTGACCGGTACTGTACACGTCAAAATTAGGTCCAAAAAATGACAAAATACCAAAATGACTAAAAACGCAAAAATATTTACATCGATAAAATCAAAATCCACTTTTTTCTCATTCATAGCATTGACAAAATCTCAAAAATCCGGTAAGAACATTACCCCGTGTAACTATACTTATGTAATTAGAAACTTTTGATTACTGTAGTGCCATTTCAAAGCTTACCGTTTCATTGAAATGAGCAATCACGATACTCTTGTTGAATTTCAATTTCCTACTCAACCAAAAACATCCTGACTTACAGATTTTTCTGGGACCACAATTGATGACAATTATCCGGTCTCTCTCTTCTGATTAATTTGAAGAAACTAGACTTCCAATTTCCTAGAACTCGAGAGCACATCAACCCTTTTTCCTGCCGAAATCAACCAATCGGAAATTGCCACTTTCTCTTCATCACCTCCTTTTTCGATCTTATTTCGCACACTGCTTAATTTCACTTTTTCCCTCACCATCTTGACCGAAACCCCGTTTCCCCCATTTTTCTCATTTTTCACCATAATTAATGATCTATCGGCATAGAAGAAATGGCGTATAAACGGTCGGAGGGGTACTGATTTTGCATATTCATTGGTGAAGAGGGTGAGCATCCGACAAAAAACCGACGACAACCATTTTTCGCGCGATTAACGCAATCCCGGACGCCGCCTTTGAATTGTGTCGGTGGGCATTTGCATATTGTGCAATTGACAAACAGATTGACATACAGCCATAACTTATTGTTTCGGGAGGGGGGAGCTGTGGTGTAAAAAGTGGGACCGATAGGAGATGAATTGTAAGAAAAATGAGGTCAAAAAGTGAGATCATAAAAAAGAAGAAGGAGTGATGGTGACTCGTGGAAAGTAACAGTTGTTTACCGACAAAGAATGAGTTATGCAGTTTTTAGGGTAGCAAATTGTAATAGAGGGAGAAAGATATAGCTACTGGTATTGATAATCAAATGGTTGGAATTTTCTATTTTGTCTCAAATGGAGATTTTCAGAAATTTTCAGATCGCGAAAACACCATTTCTATGACAGCGTCTACTCTTTCAGACAATTACAGTACCGGTCAATAGTATGTACAAAAACTTATTTTTTTGGTTGATTTTCATTTAATTTTTGACCATTTTCAAGTCTGGAGCTCAGCTGTCAAGTTTTCGAACACTTTAAAACTTTGCAACGTGCCAAACAGACATATATTAAAAAGTTTGAGTTCACAGAACTTTCTGAATGTTCCTAGGTTTTCAGTTATTTACAGATTTCTGAAAGGCATTTGTTTTTCATGTTATTAGTAAAAAGGTAATAAAGAGGCGGTTTTAGTGAATCGGCAATTAGCTGAAAAAAATCCGTAAATGCAGAGTTTCCAATCTAGGTCTGTTTCGCAGTCAACAAAATTTTCAAACTGATAGGATACTTGACAGTCAAGCTTCAGACTATTGAAAATGGTCAGAATCGACTTAAAAGCACGTTTTTCTATACCATGACACCTGTAATAGAAGGACCACGTACCACTCAACTTTGAGCCGATTTATCTCGGTATGTCTTACAGATATGAAAAAGTTGTAAACTGATGAATTGTTTATCGTAATATTTAACACATTTCATCAGTTGAGGAATTGACGGTGTGAGGGCCCTTCAATTGCATAGTACACGATATTTTATTGATCGGTACTGTATATGATTCATCTTTTACAAGCAATTAAGCTAAATCTAAAAGTAGTTAAAGCAGTTCTTGAAAATACCTTATGATAAAAAGGTCAGAATCATATAAAATGTCGAACTACTTTTCAAGCGGAAATAATAAAAAATGTGATTTTTAAAAAATACTGAAAACAATATACGAGTACAACTTTGATTCTGACTTTGCATACGTATGAAGATGTTCCAGATACTCCAAGCGTAAAAGTTAGAGTTTGTGTTTTTTGAAAAAAAAAATGAAAAAATATGACAGGATCTCGGAATCTCTCATAAGAAAAAAGAGGTAGAGGGACCACAAGTACCTGCAAAACCAATTGTTTTGATAAGAAGACACACACCGCTAAGTGGCTGTGGGTATATGTTCTGACAAGAAAGCAATTGATCAAAACGTCAGTTTAAAGTTTGTTTAACGTGGAGAAGACACCATTTCTCTTCTCTTCCAACTACCTACCCGCTTCTTCGTGCCACACACATTGTCTTCGCCGTCCCACTCCGACACGGTGATTTAGTGATTTACAAGTCACCGTGGCTGAGCCTAACCTCGCCAAGTTTAATGGTCGTCTAATGGCTTTTGAATGAGCCCTCCGGAGATGGACCAAGTTTTATGCGCCGTTTCACACTGATTCAGAATGTTCGGGGTCGTGAGGATGGTGATGGTGATGATGATGATGATGATGGCATCTGGATGAGCGGATTTTCAAATTGTGAAGTCGCGAAGAGGACGGCGTATAAACTTAACGATACGTGCTGATGAATTTATGACTTAACTCGTAGCATATGTTGAATTTGATGTTCGATTGAGAAATTGGAAAACGCTTTAGTTGATTAATCAAGGAGAATGAGGATTTTTTGGGAATCTAGCAAAAAATACAGGGTTTGGAGAATAGTAAATCGAAAATTCTATAATACCGTAATCATTTCGATAGAGTTTCTAAAATACTTTTAAAAATTTAATTTATTGAAATTGTTAACTTCCGGTACGTTCATATGTATTATACTGTAAACACCATGATATAATGACCCCCTTGACCAACTTTCATCTTTCAGACAATTCATCTCGGTTCCTGGGAAAGATATCAAAAAGT